ACTAGAATCAGGACAATTTCTGATGAACATCATTGCTATCTCTGTATCCATTTTATTCAGGCTGCTTCCTTGATCTTTCAAGTGTTTGTCAGCGTTTTCAGCAGCTGTGTTAAGTCTAACCCAGTAGTCTACTGGTGTCTCATTAGCCATCGGCTGAGTAGCATAAAAATCAGCCAGTGGTAAGCAAGATCCAGGAATGTCGCTAAAATAGCGCCTCAGAATGCTATAAACTGCCTCAGGGTTTACAGGTGTGGTGGAAGGAGCACTCTTTAATCCGATCTTAACAATGCTTTTTGCCTTGCCAAGCAGGTGGTTCAGGATTTCATCAGTTTTGTCCTCAGCTGGGAATCCCTTTTTGCGCAGGTAGACCTCCATTATTTCTATCCACTCATGAACAGAGATCCTATCATCACCATCACCACGATAGATAGGAGGCTCTTTAATGTCTGATTTCACCACCAGGCTCATTTTTGAGAGATCAAACACTGTGTTGGATGTTTCACTCCGTGCAGACTGTGATGGTGGAGGCTTCTCTAGAGTAACATGAGATCCGCTGTCTAACAGACGGCTGGTAATGGCCTCACCTATTTGGCTCCCTATCTCACCAATGAGGTCGCGTAACTGTCGTATGGTGTTTTCATTATTATTTACAGGGGTGGAAAACTGGGGCTCTAATGGAGGTATTTCAATAATCTCTTCTGTTTCTGATGACCCCTCATCAATCACGTGAGTACTACTCTGGGCTAACAGCCCTCTGCCACGCCCAACTACTGGTGTGAAAACATTAAAGGTACTATGACCTCTGCCTGCCATACTTCACACAGTAAAAAAGCAGTAATAAAAAAAATTAAACCAAAATAGTTTCACTATTCACATACACAAAAAATGGCTTTAATCTAACTAATATAGTGGTTTGATATATGTCTTAAGTCTCTGTGTTCAGAAAAGTGATCGCAACCTCAACAACAATGAGCAGGATCCACAGGCCGACCAACTTGATGACATCAGCGTCACTGGCACACAGCTGAACCCTCGGCGGTCGGCAGCGGCTAACCAATGGATCCGGGTCACGGCACCAGATGTAACAGTCGTGGAATGAAGAGTCGAAGAGATCAGACTTGCTTCGGTTTATTTCTGTTTAGAACAAGAACATATTCAGCACAGCNCTGTTAAACTTTTCATCTGTGTCTCTCTGTTTGGACTTCTGCATTTTGGGTCAGACCTTTAATTAAATCATGACAAAGATAAGTTCCCAAAAGACTGAGGCTCTTCAGTCTTTTGGGAACTTATCTCAGTCTTACTCAGCAAAAACTGGCAAACACTCTGGCGTCGAGGTAGTGGCAATCAGCAGCTTAAGAGCACTCCTTTAACGAGGTAACCGTCAGCAGGTGTGTGAGAAGGTGAACCAGAACCAGGCGCCTCCTGCTGGTTGAAGGGAGAACAACACAAAAGACAAACACACAGATTGGCGTCTTGATAATCTTAAGTGTTTGTGTGTGCAGCAGACCTGTCTTTATGGTCATCCCTTTAGCTATGAGCCAATCACTGAAATCCACTTTCACGTCACAGTCTACACTTCCATAGGACAAGTGATGTTTTTTAGTATAGTCCACCTTGCAGCTCTGCACAAGTTATTTTAGCATCCAGGGGCGACAAAACTTCATAAGTTCGCTGCTGCACGGTCATTACTTTTATGTCAATCTGTACTCGCACGCTGTTCAATTGCAGCTTTTCCTCGACTGCTTACGCCCACATCGCATCGACAAAGTGGCAGAAACCATGGTTTCGATCTCCACTACCTTTGGTCATAAATTAAATTTGTCCATTCTGGGTTAAACGACGTCCTGGTTTTGACAGGACGCTAACTGTAATACTTAGCATCAGTAATTCTGATCATTGTTTACTTTTGTAACCAATGACAAGCAGATCTTTATCTGTCACGCCGCCACTCTTATCCAATCATCTGTTAGATCAGATAGTGATGCAATTTTGATGATTGGATATTGTGCTGCAGCCCAGCAAAAAATAAATAAATAAAAATCTGCTCTACAAGCCTATTGCCTCATAAAGGAGGACAAATACACGTCCGGCAGCATGCGGCGCCGGGCGCCCGACAGTGCAATGAAAATCCGGACTGTACGCCCTAAAGCCGGACATCTGGCCACCCTACCTGTGGTCCTTTGCAGCATGTCTCTCCCGCTCCTCATACCCCATTTTCTTTCAGCTTATTTTCGAAAAAAAGAGCCACTAGTGCCATAAAAACTCAAAGCATTAATAAATACAGATAAAATTTGGGTCACTTCAGGCTGCTGTGTGAAAGTAGCCGAGGTTGAGATGCTGGATGCCTTTTTGACACTAAAACCAAGTGGTGGAAACACATCATCAGACCTGAACCATCAAAAGTACCTAAACATAGTAACAATTTCAGCAGGACCTTGAAAAAACAAATGTTTTTAGTAGAGTTGTCACTGATGATGTCTTCACTGGTCTGCCAAAAAGTAGAACAGACTTATTAAAATACATACTAAGAAAGTGGACACATCGTCCCATTTCTAAAATCCTTCCAGTGACTCATTGTATCTCATACAGATCCAGTCAGATTGATTTAAAGTTTTCTATCTAAGAAAAACCAGCTGATTGCATCAACGTATTGATTCGAATACAATCCCTCACACTAAGCATGCTTGTAGCGACAGTGGAGAGGAAAAAATGGAGCCTCGGTGCAAGTCCAACTGAAGAAACTGATTGCTCTCCTACATCCACGTGCGGCACAGCAAATCAGCTTTGAACCACACATCCATGAAAGCCAATCAGCATCCAAAGTTCATCTTAAAGGCCTCCGATCGCACTTGTCTGCTCCTGTGGAATTGCTGTGTGACTTCATTCAGATAACACCACTTCCTGGCTGCTGTTCGGATCCTGTCCTCTGACACACCTGTTGATCCACGCAATCCTGCAGAGATTCGCGGCTCTGCCTCGCCCTGTTCCCCCTTCTACAAACATTTCTGTGTTTCAGTCATCAGCAGTCAGCTGACTCGCTCTGCCTTCAGCTCGCTGACACTGATTCTCTTCAGGTGAGACGTATCGCTTCAAGGCTCTAGTGTTTCCTCACTCATATCTTCAGCTCTTTCCTCTTTTAAAGAATATCGCACGCATGTGCTTCTTCAGCTCACAGCTTCTCATCGTAAATTAACATCAGTCCTCTGATCTTTGCCTTCCAAAGATAAGAGGACAGTGGCGTTGGATGTAGGAGTTTGCCCTGAAATCGAAGGATTGACGGTTCAAGCCCTGGCTCCGAATTTCATTGTTGTTGTGTCCTTGGGCAAGACACTTCACCTGCATTGTCCACTGATGGTGGTCAGAGGGCCCGGTGGCGCCAGTGTACGGCAGCC